TTGAATAAATGACTTCTTAGGAAACATTCTAGTTGCACCTTCATATTTAGCAAAACAGCAGGTGGTGGTTATTTCAACTTCAGTGTTCTGTTAGCTGAGTTTTGATAGTGGATGATTAAGCACTGTAAACCTGTAGTCTTACCTGATAAATTGTCCTGCACTATTTTAATTCAGCAAGAAAATGATCATTTGTCTAAAAAGAGCATCTCTCTTTAATCATCACATTAAAGGTAATGATGCAAAAAGGTTGGTGATGTAGTCATTTCTACGGAAGAAAGTCTAAATGGCTTTTTGAAGACAGGCATAAGTCATTACTATTTTGTCAAATTAACTTCATTAAATTATCAAGACTCTGCTGTAACTCCGGAAAAGATTGGTTCTTATTTGTCCAATGAATCAGCTCAATACCTGGCTAGTACGGCAATGCAATTCCAGACAGAAAATCACTGTTAAATACAATGCTCCTTCTTCATGCTTTGTACATGATTTGGAAGCTGTTCTGCATGGACAGAATGTAACAAGCTATAGAGCTCTTGTGCTATGGGGAAGTTCAAAGTGAGAAGACTTGCCTTGCTTTGAGCTTGTTCATGCATTCTTTTGAGTTTACCAGTTTGACTCCAAAATACACCTTTATAAGAGATGCACTTCTAAAAATTGATTCAGTCTTCAAAGCTATAAGGAAAAAAAAAAAAATCATAAAACTGTAGTCAGGTACCTGCATTAATATGGTTGCTGGTTCTATTCAGTTCTTTACGCTTTAGCTAGCGGTTAAGATATTTAAAAGCTATAGAACGCAAGAGAAAATAAGCCATTTTGCAGAGATAGGGGAAGTGCTGAAATGATTTACCTTAAAATTGCCATAGAGATCCTATTAGAAATACTGTTCAGTCAATATGTTTAAAATGTAGTTATCTTTGATACTATTGATTAGTCTTCAATATGTTTTCCAGTGTTACTTTCTGTACCATGGTACAGTATTGTGGTAACTGGTGTGTTTGTGTCTTGTGCTTGAGTGTATTTATGATAAGTATTGCCTTACAGTGCTTTGATAGTGGCTTTTGGCTAGCAGGAGTCACTTGTTTGATTTATTGAAATTTCAAGCTTGTTTCCAGTGAAATGTCAGCTATCAGATAATGACTCTTTTTTCCTTCCAAACTAGTATTTTTTAGGCACTCAAAACTGTTGCAAAAAGGGTGTTTCCTAAAAACGTCTATCAAACGGCCCCCAGATGCGCAATACTTGCAGCTGCCTTTGCTATCTTATGCCCTCTTTGTTCATGCGTAACTGATTCTGTTCACATTTGCCAGGATAGGTATGGTTTAGAATAGTACCTTGTTTTGTGTGTAGTACTGACCAACCTATCTGAATTGAATATACGGATGCAGATTCTTGGGTGTGGTGCTTACACTGAGAAGGATGTTTTAGGCTACTTAATCTTTAGCAAGCTGAATAAAAAACTTACCTGGTTTGGGGTTTTGTTTGTTTTGATTAAAAAATAATATAATCTGACCAGTTTACCACTGTGAAAGGAATATTTCAAAAGTGGTATTTCATAGAGAAAGTTTTTTGGAATGAGACTAATAGAAAGCACATAAATATGGTGTTTTTTTAGGAGGACTGCTGTCATTCTAACAGTACTTGTGTGATAATTTGTCTATTAGTATGCACCTTTCTGTCAGAGTCCTGTGTACTTAGCTGTTCTTCATGTTGAATAGCTTGGATATTTCAGGATTACTAGCTAGTGGTCGCAGATCATATGCTTTTTCAAGGAAGTGATTTAAGCATACTGCTCTGGTGAAATTGGAATAATGCCTTTTTCAAAAGCTTATGCATTTTGTTATCTTACAACAACAGGTTTTGAATAGTGCAAATTGGGTAATGATCTCGTGCTTGATCTTACCTTCACTATTCCACTTAATGACTTAAAATACTCTAAAGTAATAGTACAATGTAATAGTGTCAGGATCATGAAAGGAGAAAAAAGGCTGTGTCTTAATAGGATTTTAAATTGTCCATCCATCAGAGCATCAAACTAAAAAGTCCCTAAACTAAATCCATATACTGAAACACACAGGTTCACACTTGTTGTTGTTAATGATGACTTTCACACGCAGTCTCAAGAAGCTTCTTCATTCCAATCCAACTTTTGAGCTGGTTATGTGCAGAAGTTTAAAGAAACCAATGCAACAAAACAATAACCAAGCAACCCCCCAGAAAACAAACCAACAGCTCTTTATTTAAAGAGTACTAGGAAACTTTCATGGCTGAGGTGTTTTTTTAATTTGGTTTGCTATGATTAAAATAGCTATTTCTAAGACGCCCAACTTCCTAGTTCCATGAATTGTTTGAACTGATACTGGAGCGGGGGGGGAATAGATGTTTGGTTCTCCCTTCACTTGGAGCAAGCTTGTGTTTTCCCGTGTTATCAGTGCAAATGTTCGGTGTCACCTGGTGGCAGTTACTCCTTCAGCATTGCCGGCAGCAGGGTAGGCAGCAACTGGTAATCTGGAAACTGGAGACTGCGTCCATGAAACCAGCCACCCTAGCTGTGGTGTGTTGCTTGAAAGTCTTGAGCAGCAATGGTGGGCCTAGGTATTGACTAACAAGCAAAACTCAAAGCTAAGGAAGGTCAACATTATATTTGTATTACTTTGTATTATGAAGTTCATGCTCCTGGCAGTTGAAAAGTTGGGGAAATTCAGGTAGAGACACAATTTAACATTGTAATTTAGTAAAGCTGTGGGCTGCTGAAAGGGCTGATAGCCAAAGAATCCTTAGGGAAAGGAGAGACAACTGTTCCAAATACTGTGTTGAAAGATATGAGGAGAAAAAATAGTGCAAGGAAAGGAGAAAGGACAAACAAACAGAATGCTTTTAACTGCTTTTTTTAATCTACCTCAAAATACAGTGCTAAGAAGATTGCTGACTTCTGAAAATACAATTTTGGGAACATCAGAGTATGCCAAAACTGCAATGCTGTGCCTTGATGGAGATGCACAAATAAATGATGCTGTATTTAAGCAAAGTATACTTGGGACTTCAGGAGCAGTAAGCCTGTGTTAGCCTCTTGATAGGAGTAGAATGTGTTGTTACTGGTCCTTACTGCTCTTTGTTTTGGGCGGCTGCTTGGTTGCTAGATGGTGAACCTGCTTTATGTTCTGTCCTTTAGCAAGGCATGTGCTTATTTTTCCTATATGCTCAGTTTTCTGTCATGAAATGAGCCTGAGTCCAGAGGCTGTTTTCTAATGTAAAGAGAACCTAAAGAGAAATTTTGTTTTTTTAAGTAGTGCGCTCTCTTCTAAGTGAGTTTTGTTAGAAATTAAGGGAGAAGGTTATTTATATTCTTACCTAAATAGCCTAATAATAATCTAGAGAGATATTTCAGTGTTAAATAAGCAAAAGTTAAGCATTATGCATATTAAATTTATGCTGTGCTTAGTTGCTGGTGTAATATTAACAGGAACTGATTTTTTTTTTCTAATTATTTCCACCAATATACTTCTGGTTCACAGTATTTGAATGCTAGGTGATACAGCCTTTTGGGCAATAAACACCTGTTTTTCTGTTGTGTTTGTTGTCTGACTTTGTGTCTTTGGGGTGTTTCAGGGATGATGCTGTGCTAAGAACATTTTCAGGTAACTAGCAGATACCTTTTGGCATGACTTCCAGAATGAAAAGACTTAAAATAAAAAATGTTGGGATATTCTAGGTTGTGTCTATTGAAATGAGAAGCTCACAGCGTGTAAGGATTCTGCTGTATGTAACCAAACTTGAAGGATGTGCGCAACGGTATACTTAAGTATGCAAAAAACAATTTATCTCCTCTGTGGTAATCGTATGTTTAAGAAAATAAATATAGACAGTTGATGGTAGGATAAAAATCAGAGTTAATTTTCAGTGATGAATGTTTAGAGTATTAGGATCTTTTTATTATTTTTAAAATTATGATTTTTTTTCTTAACTGTTTAAACTGACAGAGACACACATAAGGTTTGGGGAGGACAGAGGAAAAAGGTTCTTAAATGACTTTTAAGAGAGGCAGTCTCATTTAAGTTTGAAATTTTGATTCTGCTGTTCTGGCAGATGATCTGAGGGTTTGCAATACTGTGTCTGATAGTGTAACATCCAGGGAGATGCAGCAGTGAAAAAAGAAAAATTTTCACAAAAATGCTTTAGGAGGCACTTAGAAGCACAGGTGAGTTTGCAGGTGGGTGGGTGGGTGGGTGGTTTGTTTTGTTTTGGGTGGGTTTTTTTCCTTCTTAATAATATGTTAGATGAGAGTGGGGTTAGGTGACTCTTAAAACAGCTCTGTCAGAGCATGGAAACCATGGAAGCAGAGGGAGAGAACACAAAACTTTATGAAGAAGGTTCAGTGGGTTTGTGTGTAATATGTACTTGAAACTTGAAAGCTCTCTTCTGGTACCACCTATACTGCCTATCCTGATCTGGTTTTTTTTGGTCTTCTGGAAGTTTTAACTTACCTAAAAGTTGCTAAAAGGAATTTTTTTTTTTTTTTCCTCTCTTAAAAGGGCTGGCTTTCTTGCTTGTCTTTTGCCTTTGGTATTTGTGTCTTTGCTGTCTTTCAGAAAGCCTCTTTTGCATAATTTTGGATAAAAATATTGCCTTGCAATACCAAGCAAGTAAAGTCTTGAGTCTGTTAGACGTTCGTGACTGTCATGCTACTTCTTCTTATTGATTACCTTTCTTCTTAATTTTTTTTTTTTTTTTTTAAATCAGCACAATATTATTTCTCTTACTCTGGCAAAGCCAGCTCTGCCTTGGGTGCTTGACTTCCTCCACAGCCTGCATTCTGACTTCTGGAGGGGCTTCCTCTGCTACTGTTCTGCAGAATGGGAAGAAAGCAGCACGTTGAAGAAGTTCTTTGTTCAGAGTGTCACTGGTGCCTTCTTGTACCTCTCATATATAAGAAGTCATCTTTCCCCCCCTCAATCCTGTGCAATGCATCTATTTGTGGCTGAATCCAGAGCTGCATTGCCCTAATGAGTGAGTATGTTGGCTATGGTACGCTTCGTGGCTCAGCTGAAGGGAATCTTGCCGTTGTGCAGGGAGAAAGGGAAAAGGAGCCTCTACTACATGCACACAGTGTATCCCAGACTGAGCAAGGGCATATTTTGGTCTTACTGCGCACTTGGCCTCTTTGTCTGTGTTGGCCCGAGGTAAGTGTTTCAGTTTTCACATGGCTGGGAGAGAACTCCTGTAGTTTGAGTACTAGGTGGTTACTGAGATACGGTAGACTTATTACTATATTTAGTTAACTAGAGAGTACTGCCAGTCTCCAGAAATGACTTGTATATCTTAATTTCCCTCTGGCAAAAGCTTTATACAATAGATTGAAGTTCATTTGAGCATGAACATTGTTTAACTAATTCTGAAAATAAATTCCACAGTTAGTTCTCCATTAATAATGTTTAAACATTAGAGTCAAAGGAGCGTTAGCTTGAATGACCTGGCTGGTCCCATTTGGTTTAGTGTGATGAGGGAGCAGGAGCGATAAATCCAGATGGAAAGCACTGAAGATAGGAGTGACTTCATCAGTTGATACCTTGAATTATGCTCAGAGGCAATAGTTACTTACATTGTGAAGATATTGGCATTATCATCAATTTCTGGAGGAGGAAAAAACTGCAAACCAATCCCAAACCCCATAACCAAACAACAACCCACCCCTCTGCCACTAGAACTCTGAGTTCAGGTTTTTGTAATTAGAATTGTTTACTAAACCTGTGTTGTGCAATGTCTGAGCACACAACATGTGTACACTTTACTGCTAGTTCAGTGTAAGTGTACAGTGTGAACCATTCTTTTAATATGTTACAGTTCCTAACTGTGTATCTAAACACCTGCACTTCTGCAGTTAGGGTAGAGCTTACCTGTAAATCAACAGCAAAATTTTGAAAAGTGAGTTATGAAATGCTATTGTTTTTTTAATGCTCTCCTAAAACATGGTTTGAAATGAAAAATATTTTTCAAAATGCTAGATTTTGACAGAGTGACATCCAAAGAAGGATGGGGACTGACTTAATGTTCTACCAGACGGCTGCTATCAATAGCCCTTTGGGGATTGAATCTTTTCATATTGTAGACATCGTAATATTATAAACAACTAAATTCTGAGATTCAAATTTGAGTCTAAGGTGAAAACAAGCATTTGGAAACATTGAGGTATTAGTATGGCCTAAGAGTGTGTTCAGGTGATGGTTCACAACATATAATGTCAAGTTTTCTATGTTTGTCTCCAGCAAAATTTCCTAAAGTATAACTGCTCACGGTAAATGTGCAGAAGTATGTATAACTAGCTTGCTTCTAGATGAAGTATGAGCTGTGCTGTGCATGTAGTTCAAGGTTTAAAAGGTAAAATGCAATTTTTATTCTGTCAGCCATGGGGTATTTTATAATGAACATGGAACCAACACACCTTAGCATCACTCAGCAGTGCAAGGGAGAACTCTTTACACCACCAAAGACCAGCAGCTATGTTCACATGATTAACAGTCTCGCTCTGCGTGCTGTACACCTTACTCAAGCAGAAATGACCGCTGAACTTAAGTTACCACATCTGAACGGCACCAGTAGCTTGGCAAACTTTAAGAGACTAAGAATTTATTGTTAATCATGATCTAATCTTTACAATGGCCAATTTTTCTCTCTGTTTGACATTCATGACACTAGAAAACTTTTTAAAAAAAAAACTGAGAGGCAAAAACTTGCAATTAAATCATCAGTTAGTAAGGGATTTCAAATGAATAGTCATTCACTAATCTTAGTGTTGCTTATGGGTTACTCCAGTTTGTTTATGCTGCAGTGGGAGAGTTTGCACTCATCTTCCCATTTGTAAATTACTACTACCTCAGTACTTCAGTGTTGTACTTAAACCTATTTATTGAATTTTCATTTAAAGCATTTCAGTGCTTATATTAAATTTGCTCAATTTGACTGATACTACTGGTGGATCTAATAAAAAGGAATAATTTGAAGGAATCTGAGGAAGAAGATAACTACCACTTCGAGCAGATATACTTGACTGAATGTTACTTTAGTACATAACTGTTCTTTCTTCCCCAAGAAAAGTTTTCCTTGGGTTCTCAAACGCTGAGTAGAAAACCAATGTCTTTTCTTAATAAAAAAAAGCTTGCATGTTTTGTGTATGTATATAACTTAATAGTTCTTAGAATATTATCCAGTTATGGAGTGACGTGCAGTAGCTCAGGAGTATCAGCATTGCATTTCAAAAATAGTTGCAAATGATCTACCTGCTGATAACATCCTTTTAAATCAAACATACAACTGTAGAGGTGGTAGAAGGCTAAATAATCTTTCTTAACAGCTACTGTTGAGTAGAAAGGGTGGGAGGAGGAGGAAGGTTATTTCTGAACATTTATTATTTTCTTAAAAGAATAAACTTGAAAGGCTTGCTTTATTTATGCATTCAATATGTTTCACATGTTGTGAAGCAGAGAAGGCCAAATTTTTGATTAAGTCATATCACTTGCAGTGAAAACCATCTGCATCCAGAAATCTTTACAACTTCTTCAAGGTACTGTTCCCTATGTGGAAATACTCTGCATTATATTACTAAGTCATTTTCTTAAATACAGTCATTTCCTTATTGGGTGAAGGTTTGTAAGTCTTCCCTCTGTTTCCAAAGGAGGTAGAATGGCTGTAAGTCCTCAAATAAATAATGCTGAAATTTTGAGAATTTTCATTGCTAACTTCACTGAGATTAGGCTTTTACCTGTGGCATGTGTCCTTATTTGTGCCAGCGTATGTTTGATATCTAAGAATGTTTATTCGTAAAGTCAGATATATGGCTTTATGTATTGCATTCGTGCTTTGTAAATGTAGATGTAGCAAGTAGCTGTTGAGTTCATTGCTTAGAAAAGATCTTCCGTGATACACTATTCTGAAATATTTCAGGTGTATAATTCCATAGATTAATATTTCATATAGTTCCTTTTTCTTCTTGTCATATAATGCCTTTCTTCAGTTTGCCTTGTGCTGAAAGAAGGCTTAGATTACAAGTCTTTCCTTTAAGGCTTTCCTTCTATGAAGCAGTTTGTTTATTTCTGGTTCAAGGTGCCTGTAAAGGATGTTCCTGTAGTTATGATGATCAGAACCATTTTGTATGTAACCTTGTCTTGCCCAAATGACTGAGTCACAAGAGAGTGTAAGCTTATTTTCAAAAGTACAACAAACAAGAACTGGGGATATTTAGTAACTATTTTGTAATCTTTTTAAGTTTCATAAGCCTATCTTGACCCTCTTTAAGATTTGGTCACAGGCTTCTTTTTGTATTTTAGACATATTTCACAGTTCAAATCTCTTAATACTCTCTTTGTGGTAATGAAAAAAGCTAGAAAAGTTAAGTGTTAGTTTGATGTAAATGGTTTCCTGTAACTTATGAAACCACAGTCATCTTAGTTGCCTCTAGATTAACTCCTTAACAGCATGTTTCAGATATAAATGACTTGTACTATTGTAGACCTTTCTTATCGCGGAGGAGGTATAGAATGAACAAGTTAATTTTGTTGGTTCCTATTTGTAGAAAAACATTCAAAAGACTGAACCCAAAATTCAGAACAACAAGCAAACCTGCACATTGCCAAACAGCTGGCCTTATCTTTTCCAATAACTGTATGGTTTTATATACTCATTTTAACTGGTGATTTTTTTTATTTAGCTAAGGTTGCAGTTCCACTTTTAATCTCTATTACTGTTATAGGAACCTAATAACTGAAGATTGCTTTTAGAAGCGTTTGCACATTCTAGAATATTTATGCTTCTGTCCAATAATTTTTAGAAATATTTTAATCTTATCCCAAGCTTTCGTATCTTCGATGAACCAAAATGCTGTGCAAAGTCTATATGACAGATAATACTGATGTTGAAATTGTTGAGTTTGACAAAACAAGTTTGGCTGATTTCCTGGGAGAAAAAGATCTATTACAGATCTTTTGTCAGTAACAGAAATGAAAGCTGCAGAATTGGAGCTTTCATTTACTTTCATCAGTTTATTCCATCTCTCTACTGTGTGTGTGTTTGTCTTCAGTAACAAGAACTATTAACACTTCTTTCTTTCTCTTTTCCCACCCCCTCATCCCCTCCAGGGAGGCAATAATGCAGGGCATACAGTTGTTGTGGATTCTGTGGAGTATGACTTTCATCTTCTGCCAAGTGGGATCATCAATCCAAAAGTCACTGCATTCATTGGTAAGTGGGAGATCTCTAAAAAATAGACAATACTGTAGTTACAGACTTTAGGCATACTAAAATAACAAAATATATCTGAGGACATACAAGGTAAGGATTTTTCTTCTTCAAATTCTCGTAGGCCTGAACTGCTCTGAGTGTTTTTGAGCAATGTGACAGCTGTAGGAAAGCGAGCTTGCTTTCAATAGAGCTTTTCCCTCTTATTTTTGCTAGTCTGTTAACACCCCCCACTCTATATATGGAATATTCTGTGTCTGTTTACAGCAGCAGAGTGCCTGAGGGGATGCTAGTGTTTATAATGGTGATAGAAATGTGCTAAGCTTTTAAAAAACAATAGGGTTGTTAAAATGAAACATAAAGAGGGAAGTTAATTTTAGATATGAGGAAGAGGAAGTTGCTTTCTGGACTGTCCCACGATGCTGTTACTGTTTGTCCTGATCTAAATTGAAAGTTTGTTAAGCTTATTAAAAAGATTCCATGCACGTAGTTAGAAACGTATACTTTAGGTATAAAGCAGTCTTTTACAGATGAATCCCTAAGAATAAAAATTGGAATGTTTTGAAAGTTTAAAAACTTTAACGCTCTGCATACAAGACATGAAGCGTCTTTGAATTGTTTGGAATATTTTTTTCCATGCTCAACATAATTAATTTAATTTTGTGTAATGGTTTTCTTCAGGAAATGGTGTTGTAATTCATTTGCCAGGACTGTTTGAAGAAGCTGAAAAAAACTTAAAGAAAGGAAAAGGTGAGAAAATTTTAAGAGACTACTCTTAAAATAGTTTGTGGAGTCCTGTCCTTTGTTTAGATCCCTAAATCAAAAGATCTAGACAGCCGATGCCTCCATAGAGGTTATGTACAATGTCTTTTTTCCAGACTTCCATCTAGCTTCTAGTTTCTGACAGGAGTCTCGATAGAAGTCCCAGGGCCCTCATGGGAAGACAGACAAAAGGAGTCTCTGTACAGTTTCAGAAGAGAACATGTTCTAAATATGAATTATCTGCAGACATTTTTCTTTGCTTAAAGCAGTGAATTTAAAAAGTGAAACAACTTTTTAAAGTGTGTTACCTGTTCATAGTCGTTCTAGCTCTTAAAATATTAGCATACAGTTTATGGTATGTGTTAATATAAACAGATGCTGTGGTAATCACTTCTTGATTCAGTTTTTTTATATTTTCTGTTATGTCTATGGCCATGCTTGGCAGCAGTCTACTATGTGAGGTAAATCAATGGTCTAGATTATTCAAAAATAAAAAGCTACTAATTGATTGCTGAAATTGAAGAACTAGTGGAATAGCTAGAATTCTTCCTCAGGATAAGCCTGACTTTCTCAGCTTCATAGGCTGATGCCAAGTTTTAGTTATTGAAATCTACTTCTTATTCTCTGGAACATGATTGCTAAATCTTTATATAGATTGACTGAAGACTGAACGTGAAAAGTATTTATCTTTCATACATCAGAAGACAAAAATGCTAAACAACACATAATTTGAACTATTTAATTTTGTCTTTTAAGGGCTTGAAGGCTGGGAAAAAAGACTAATAATTTCTGACAGGGCTCATATTGGTAAGTTCCTGTTCGTGGTTTGGTTTTTTGTTGATTTTTTGTTAATCTTTTTTTTTCTCTGACCTTTCCACGGCCGTAAAACTGTGACAATTTTTAGCCATCTCTTTATATAGGTATGTACTTTTCTTTGGATTAAGTCTCCACATGCTGCTTTCGTTTATTGAAGTTTGTAGAAAAAAACCCACTCGCAACCCTCCCAAGTTTATGTTCTAGTGACTCTTTAATCCTGTTCCATAACCATAACCTAGCCAGGAAAGCAGGTTCACTTTCCGAACCAAAGATTAGAGGTGCAAAGCAGTCAAAAAGCAGTTCAGAAGTTAATCAACCGAAGGATTCATTTCCCCCTTTGGTGTAAAAACAGTGTTGCTTATAGCAACTTTTCTGCTGGGAAACCACATGACTGGGCGTGACTTCCAAACTAACGGGTCCCTACCAAGCACATTGCCACGCGCTTCAGAAAGGAGACGTTATGAGAAGGACTGCAGGGATGGAGAGAATGGCTGCCCTCCTCACAGGGAGCTCATCAGTCAAACGTTGATTCCAGCCTGTGTTCCAGACAACTGCAGTTCAGAGCCTGGAGTAAAACGGTGTTTAGAGTCCAAACCACCAACACAGAGCTTCAGGGGCTCTTCTTGTATCACTTCTAGGACATCTTTATTACATAAAATCATCCTTTAAATTAGATCTTTAGATACTGTAACTTAATAGTTGTGTAACTGCATGTATTAGGAAATTAGTTTATTGCTGCTCTGGTAGTCATCTTCTGAAGATGCAAGCTTTTCAGGTCTTTATCTGATAAAGCTTATAACACTGGAAAAAAGGTTTTGCTTTTGTTTTTTGGGTGTGGGTTTTTTTTGGTTTTTTGTTTGGTTTTTTTTTTTGTTAAACTGCTCTGGAGTAGCTTAGTGTGTGAACATGTTATTTCAGAATAAATAGGTTTTCACCTTGGAGTAACTACTGAGTTTGAAATAATTGAGTAACTGTTCCTAAGTTACTAAAACGCTTTCTGAGAGTAGAATCACTGTAGATGAATTATTTGGAAATTACTAGATTATTAGCAAAAACTGATCTGTGATGATTCTAATGCAGTGGCAATACTGTGAAGTTTTCGTAGCTAAACAGGTCCTGAGTAAAAAGGACCCATTAATGACTGTCACTCATAATCATTCAACCTCTTAATATAAATGAACTTTCAGAGTAGTTCTGTTTAGAAAGCTTTGGTGACAGTCTGGAGATCTGTTGCCATGCCTTCTCTAAAATGGGTACTGGCAATCTGTGAATGATAAGTCTGTAAGAAAAGATCAACCAAAACCAGGTTCAAGTTTCTGGGGACAATCTAATCCTTTAAATTATGTGGATGTGTGGAAATAAACACAAAAAGAAATTGGTAAGGCAAACAAGGAAAACCATTCTTGTTCTAGAGAGACTAAGAGTACTTATTAAATGTGTCTGTTTCTTGCAATTTTTCAGTCTTTCCTGTGTAATGTCTAGACTAGTTGTTTAACTTTTGGGAGCTAGTACTTAAGAAAAATAAGCTGGCTTCTGCTAGCCAGCAAACTGTTGCACCACTGTTTGTATTTGACATGAGTCTTGTCAGATTTTTTTTTTTTTTTTTTCTTTTATGGTAGATGAAGAATTGCTGCAAGGAATACTTTGCATAATCTTTGTCATTAGGAATAGGTAGTGCTTCAAAAAAAGTAATCAGGTTTTGTGAAGATGACTTCTCTTTACATACAGACATTGGTGGGAACTCTTGTATTTCTAAATGTATTTTAATTTATGTTGTCCAAAACATAAAAAAAATGGTTAAAGAAATCTTTACAATGAATGAGAATGTTTACTTGAAGTTCCCACCTTAAATTTCAGCAGTATGCCTTTTTTTTACTATAACCTGTTTTCCAGGATTTTTTTCAACTGCATGTTTTTTTTGTCATTCATACATTCTTTTGGGCCACGAAGAAGTTGAAAGGGCTTAGCTATTCTGTGGGAGGTATATGCACAGTCTGCAAGTATGCTACAAGATAAACAGTTTAAAAATAAAAAAGAAGCCTCTCAAAAACCTTAGAACTCTTCCCTGTGAAAAAATGTAACTTGTAAAAGAGGAGAAAAAAACTTGTCATTTTATTTGCCTCTCTTCAGTATGTGGTTGTTTTTTTTCCATATTGATAAACAGGGCTAGAGTTGGTTTGACGAAATTGTTACTGATATGGTAATTTATTTCACACAATTTTTCTACTTATTTCTATTTTCTTAGTATTTGATTTCCATCAAGCTGCTGATGGCATCCAAGAACAACAGAGGCAAGAACAAGCGGGAAAGAAGTAGGTGGTTTTATTTTGTCAAACATGGGATGACTTAGTACAAACTTGTGTCTCAATATGTTGGATTTCTGTTATTGTTTGTCATTTAGTTTTAAAAAAGTATTAATTATCCTTGTAACTCTTCAATGTGGAGTATGCAGGGATAGTTTCTTACGCTTTTGTCCTCCAGTGGCTAGCAAAAGGTTATATTCTTAATGAAAGGGTTGTATCTTGATACTTTGCCTTATGAAAAGGTTCCTAGTTTCTAGTTAGCTTTATAAAAAGGGTTCCAGCTTCCTAATGTCTTAATTGTTTACTGGAGATACTTTCTCTGTAAAAATACATTTCTGTTTATGAAGATTGAAGGATCCCTTAGTTCTCTCCAAATAACTGAAAGGTCTGATACGATTACTTCGGTATCTCACAATCCTTCATTGTCAGAAGTGCGTTTAAATGTTCACATTGTCTACTACATGCAGCTACTGACTTTCTGAAGCTTTTGAAACTTTCAGAAACTAGCTGCTATGTTTCTAACTTGAGATTTCCAAGTAGCTTGCTAGTTCTTGGGGATGGGGGAAAAAGCTGGCAGAGTTAACTGTGGCACGTCTAAAGCTGGAAAGTAATGCAGCACTATAGATTTCTCAGATACCAGTACTGTCTTCTTGGAAGTTTGTGTGGATGAAGAGTAAGTCGGTCTTCCTTACTGAGACCTGTAAAAACTATCATCCATGACAATAAGACACTCTCACAATTAAGAGAGTGTCCGATTTTGGCATACTTGCTTCACATAGGTGAAGCAAGTATTGTGTGATAACTTGTCAACTGTTCCTACACTGGGTCATTTTCACACTTGACTCTGCTGTACCAGCTGTGTTGTTACCTGTTGTTATAGGAATTAAAAAGTAAACAGGAAGAACTTTTTTTTTTATGAGCCAGTATGTGTATATCAACTATTCTTGAATGTTTATGGAGCGCAAACTGAAATTCCTGTATGACAATATTTGCAGTTAAAAACACTGTCAGTCACTCAGCTACTTGTGAGAAAGAACTACTTTACTAGTTAGTGTTAAAGGTTGTCAGGGAAAGCCCAATGAAGAAATAACCACTTTTCTTCAATTAATTTGTTTTAAAGAAATCCAGAGGAAAAAAGTTACATCCAAAGCTAAAAAAATTTAAGTCACTATAAGTGCTCTATTTCTTTTTTCTGTGGGGTTCTTGAAATTCTGCAAGAATCGTATAGTTTTCAAGTCTGTTAAAACTGCTGATGGATTGAAAGTACTAAGCTATCTATTGCCTCCTAAATTTTAAGGCTAAGTGACTGTAGTGGCGGAAGTACACACAGGCTGGCTAAGAACAAGCTATCATAAACTGATTATCAAAAGACTGTCTTCTGTTTGTTGGGGTAGAGTGGGGAATTGAAATAGCCTGCTAGCATGTCTAGCTATACATTTGACTGCATAGCATTTTTTTGTGTCTAACACTTCAAAGTTGATAATTATAAATAGGAGGTTTATTTTTTATTTTAACTGAATGCTTTTATCTGTTTAAATGTAGCTCAAAAACAGTCACAAGTAAGGCTCATGTAGCTTCCCTTGCAGAAAGGTTATAAAAAAGGTAATCTAATATAGTATATTATGCTTATACAACTGTTTTTAACACCTATAAATACAGTCTTCTGACAGCTTAAGTCTTTTATGAATTAGCATGTCTTAATGAAACAAAATAAATGGAACCCAACTCCTCCTTTAAAAACATTCTCTGTGGAGGTTATGAACTGGGGCTAGTCAGTTATTTAAGCCACAATGTCCTGGTTTGGTTAAATGATACTGTGTGATGCAAAGTCGATTAGAATGTCTTTCTCTTCAGACTGGAGGCAAACATATCACTCCCTGAGATTACTAGGTATTCAGTCTAATGGGAAGAATTTGGTTTTTTTTTCCCCAAGATTATTGTTTTGAATCTACTTAACTAAAATGAATTATGTACTACTTATGAACTGTATTTTAGTTCATTCGCATATCAATTGATACCCTTTAACATAAAGTTTAGATACAACCTGCACCTTCTACTTGGAATTGAGTCCCTCTTGAACTGAGTTATTGCATGGTACCTTTAAGGCAGTTTGAAGAAATCTGTGCCACTCTGCATATCCAGAATTTATAATTGAAGAAGATAAGGCTTTGTGTGTCTGCTCGGGGGGGGGGAAACAGAACAACAAAACAGTTAAAACTAAGCGCAAAACTTCTGCAAATGCTGCATACCTATTCACTTAATCTTTTGAGAGCAATGGGGAAGATGTTTAATCTGTTTATACTGAGTGCAGTTTGGCTCCATTTTGGTATCTATTTAGCAAGTCGCTAGTTACACTTCCTGAACTAGCTGTACTTCTCTGACAGAAAAGTCAGTGCAGGCAAGTTGTATCTTATGATATCACTGACTTAAGCTGAAAAAGGCTTTTCAGACAGAGTGGGTAGGTAAGGATAAGAAAAAGAATTCAGGTTTTCAGAATCAGCTACAGTGGAAAATCTATTCCTGAACCCGTTCTTAACGTACAGCATTTTGAGTACCATTGTCATTCTCAGATGTTCGGCAGTGTTTTCTGTTTTCGTCGCTCCAACTGAGGCTTCTAGAATTAAATGAAATATTTCTTACACACAAACTTGAAATCCATACTGTTTGTGCTGTTGCTTTATGGAGGACTTTCTTTAGATCTTCAGGACAGTTTTTTAGGAAGGTGTTTAGTTAGTTTCAGTTCTTAATACTGAAGGATATTGTCTTGGCATTCAGTTCCTTAAATATAAAAGTTGGGAATTGTGTACAAATAAATACGTAAGAGTTCACTGATGTATGAAAAGTTACTGGTCTAAAAACAGAGGTGTGTAGAAGATTAAGGTCTATAAACAGTGCTGTTCTGAAACTAAGTTGCATACTAAAAGTATCTTGTGTTTTAAATGTTTAAAACAGGGTTCTAAATGCTGGCAATTAACAGCATTTCATTTTATGCTAAGCATGTACTAGCTTTAAAGAAAAAACACCTTAATTTTATATCAAGAATAACTCCTGTTATTATCTTTTGAAAGTTTGGGAACTACCAAAAAAGGAATTGGTCCAGTATATTCTTCAAAAGCAGCTCGAAGTGGACTCAGAATGTGTGATCTTGTTTCTGATTTCGATGACTTTTCTGAGAGGTAATTTCTGTATTTTAATGCACAGTTGTAAGCATAGTTTTCAGTTTCTGGGTAGTACCCTGTGTAAGCAAATACATCTGGTTGCTGTTACTTTATAAAATTAAAAATTATTTTAAATATTGAAATAATTTTATTTATAGTTTTATTGAGTGATCTATTTACAATTATTAAAATATTTTATTGTTTAAAATTGTTTAATCACCAAATAATGGCACATACATAACCAGTAAAACCTGAGGTTGGTGGGGGCATGAGGAGGAAAATAAATGAACAAAAACCTTGCTGAAGCATTTTTTTCCTTCCAGGTTCAAAGTGTTAGCCAATCAGTATAAAGCGATATATCCTACCTTAGAGATAGATATTGAAGGGGAATTGAAAAAGCTCAAGGTAAGCCTGCTTCTGTCTGTTAAATGATATAATCACTGTGTGCAGTTACTGATATGTAAATCTCTGGGTGACTGATGCTTGTGCTTGTATGAGGAGTTAAAACATAATACATATAATGGGAAATTGGTACGTATCAATTTTAAAGAGTCTGCTAGCATCCTTAAATACACTTTTGACCCTGCTTTATGCAGCTTTTCAAAACTTGGCTTCAAGAGAAATACTGTAAACTTGAAGAAAAATGTTTTTGTAGGGAGTATTATTTTTGACTTCCATTTGCTCAAACATACTGCCTAAGAGAAAAACACCCCACAATTGTAGCTGGGGAAGGCATGTTTCACTGTAAAGAATAATATTAATTCCTTGTGTCAGAAACTTAAAAACTGAAGTAAATTATTTTTCTAAGTAATAAGCCTTAAGGAAAAAAAGTACTGTTTAAAAACATAGAAAAATGTAACTCAATAGCAGCAGAACTAATGAAACCTGACTGCCAGCAAACTTGTCTTGTGGTTAATTATGAATTCTGATTTGATGTTTTCCCTGCAGTTGGGACAGTTGTGAGATTTCTCACTAGTATTAATTCTCTTATGCCTAATACGGCTATTTTTGCAGTGCATCCAAGTTCTTATTTGAAAAAAATTGTCAGATGCCTTACCCTTGGCCAGCCTTTTTGTTCATGCACTTCATAGAATCTTAACTGTGAGATTTTTTTACCGTTTAGAAAGCTTCAACCAAATTTGACAAATTGTTTAAAAATGTTGAGGTATGTGTGGAACAGGGGAGGGCCTGCACAGTTACAGATTTAATTCTTTCAGAAATTCAGGCCAGTGATATCATCCTTCTTGTATCTTCAGTGCCACTAAACTCAGTTTACCAGCTCTAAAAGGGAGTATATTGGAGTTCTTAGCACTTCTGTTTGTCGTACTTTAAATGATATGTTACACATGTTGGATTGTAGTATTTTTATTAATATGTAGACCTAAAATCAGTTACAGTTGAGTGTTTCACACCTTGTAGTTTATTTATTAAAGTGTAATGTGTGTGTATTACACATGAGGATTACAGAATACCTGAAACTTATTGTTAGGGTGGAAACAAATACGTAGTTGTAGCCTGAGAAGAATTACTTGCATGTTATGTTTGTTTTATGCTAATGCACTTGATGAAATTCTGAAAGACCAAGTATTAGATTTCATGTGAAGTGAATCATTAGAATGAGAATTTCTATATGTTCACATGGGGAAAACTGCTGTTTACCAAGTGTTAATTTGAACATTACTGGCTTCTTACATCCAGCTACTCGGTGGCATTCAAGCACTTGACTCTTAATTCCACTAAATAATGTCTTTCTTTCACTTAAAAGCTTACCTATATATATGTTCACAAACTAATGGTGCTTTATAATTGTGTGCATTTGTTGGCTTCAGATGGCCAGAATTAGAACCCACCACATGCTGGTTTTGGGGGAGAAATTTTGAACACTTGGAAATAAAATACTGAATACAGTAAAGTATTGTGATTATGCTCAAGCTTGAATATTTCTAAAGCATTTCCAAAGTTTGGATTTTATTTCCTTTTTTTCCCTTTTTTTTTTCTTTCTTTCCTCCTACGAAGACCATACATGTCTATTGTGTAAATCTGAGTCTAATGTTCTTCCTTCCCTTGTTCACATACTGTGGCATATTTAACATTTATTTATGTTTGCTTTTCCTTTCCAAAAGGAATAAGAGAATTGTTATGAGGGAGCAATAGCACTTGTATTCTGGCTGGCTTTATCATAATGAAATCATACTACACAATAGTCTTCTTTATTATTCAGGGCTGCATGGAAAAAATAAAACCAATGGTAAAGGATGGTGTTTATTTCATGTATGAGGCTTTACATGGACCACCAAAGAAGATCTTAGTAGAGGGTGCAAATGCAGCACTGCTGGACATAGATTTTGGTAGGTATAACATTTTTGAGACACATGTTGCTATATACTTCTGTTGTGAAAGACGAACACTAAATAGAAACTCTTCTATGCTTAGCTGTTTTTTCTTAAATAGAGTATAGTTAACACTTCAGTATCTATAAATTTCATATGAAGTAACTCACAGTTGTATACATCTATGGAAATCTCTTGAGGGGAAAAAAAAGAGCTTTGAGAGGCAAAGTATAAATACAAAATACTTGTTGACTTTTGAAGAATCGGCTTGCATTTTTTTCAAACCCTTTATGTAACACTTAGCGTTTCACTTTCACGATATAAAGAAAGATGTTGGAAATCTGGATTGCTAATGAGGCAAGAGTGAAAAGATTATCCTAATCAATTTGAAATTATAACTGGTGCCGTTTTTCTTAAAACACTAATTAGCATCTTGATAGAAGCAGCTTTTTTTAAATGAGATTATGATGTTTGTTATCATTATGTTGTAAGGACAGATAAATTACTATACCTCTGTATGGGCATAAGCAGCCTATATTATTGGCTCCTGCGTTTTGTCACATTTTTCTTCAGTCTCACTAGCCTTGTAACTGCATCACTTTTATTGTTGGAAAGATGTGTAAGCCTGAAATTGAAGCCTGTAAGGACTACTGTCAAATAACAAAATTGGCACGCACTCTCCTTTCAACAGATAGGAGTTCTGATGTTGGGCATTTTCAAACATACTGAGTTCGAAAGCCTCTTTCTTTTAAGAGGAAGATATGTTTAAGACTAGTAACCATAGGTGTAAGCACCACGTTTTCCCATGATAATCTGAATGTTGGAAGAAAGCTCCTTTTCTAACAGGTCAAAAAAAAAAAAGGAAAAAACCTCTTTAAATATGCTTGTCACAGGGAAATGTTTGATGCAAACCTGAGATATTTGCAGAAGACTTTAGGGGGGGTCGTTTTTTATAAGTAGTGAGGATTTTAGATTTCATGTGAGTATAGGAAATGCAAATAGTCTGAAACTCATCAGGTATGTCTATAATACGTACAGAGTTGTTTAGATCACTTTTTCTCCTGCCTGTGGTGTTAGACCCACACACAGAGAGTGTATCTGCTGTCCTTAGGTAGATACCATCAGTGGATTGGACACTTGGCTTAACAATAGGCAAGTCCTAGTCAAAAGATTTGGCAGTGCCAAATTTGATTGTGCGGCATTCTGAATGAGGCTGTTTTCTGTGTCTTTGCACAGAAGTCTTAATACTGAAGTGAATTTTATGAATGTGTGTCTGTTGGTAGTGAAGGTGGTAAACCCCCAGCCTTGCAGTCCATTTCTCTCTTCTGGAGTGTGTAACGAAGCTCGTGTGTATGTGTGTCTGGGGATGGGGGTATAGGTGTGGAGATGTGTGGTCTTCTGTGTTTTTAAACGCTTGAGTGAGGATAAACCAATGTCAGTATACCAGGCTGGGTGCTGAAAATGAGTAAGAATTGTCTCATTGACTTTGTTTATGGCATCCACTAGCTGTATTACCTGTCAGTAAAGAAAAGCTCAACTACTGTGTCCTAAGAAAGATAATGACTAATTAGTGCTTAAAACTGCTGTTACATATCACCTGTAAGCCTGTGTCTTTCTCCTGAGAGATGTAAGCAAAAGAAGCTAGAGATACCTGAGGCTACCCTGCAACAACTCACTGAGGAGTCTCTGAAGGATTTTGACTTTTTAAAGTTGTCTGTATTGCTTTCAGTTCCTTTTGTCTTTGCTGTTCCTCTCTTACCCATCACCGAGTCTTATACAAAAACAAAAAGTCTGAAGCAGGAGATAGAAGTCTCTTGCTTATATGTAGTTATTGTGTGCTTGAAGCATTTGTTCACAATTCAAATCAACTAAGGACTGGCATGCTCTGTTTCATCTTCCATTACTTAAGAAAAAAAAAAAAAAAGAAAAAAGTGTAAGCCTTAAGGATTCTGAGATGTTTAACTCTTATCTTTGCTGTCCAGGCTACTCTTTAAATGGGGGCTGAATATTTAACTAGAGACAAACTCTCATCACTAATGAACTAGACTATATTCCAGGAGTCTTTTTTTTTTTTTTCCTTTTCTTTAATAGTGTTAATAATTTTTTTTCATTTGCTTACATAAGCAAAATTTTCTTTCCAGAATTCTACACTTTGCAATTTCTTATCCTTATAATGTGCTGACCAGATTGTAGAGCTTATATTTTATTTTTTTCTCCCAAAATGAAAAATGGTAAGCCTATATTTTCTAACCTTTTAATGCCGTTAAGAGTCTCCCTTCAAGTTTTCATGTTGTTCTGTTAGTTAGTATATTTTATATATTATAGCAGGGCATGGTTTTCTGGTGTCTTATTCCAGTTTTTGACTTGTATTCAGAATTCATTCAGAATTGTTATGTAGTCAACTTTTGCCACTGTACCAAAAGTAAGTGGTAAGATTTTTACCTTTTTCAGTAAAGAAGGATTAGACAATGTACATACAGAGCTAAGGGCTCATTAAATATGTTTTTGACTGCAAAATACATTTATTGTGTGGTTTTGGTTTTTTAGTGTTGTAAAACCTATGTAAGTGCAATGCAAGTACTATTCCTTACCAGGTTAGATTTAATTTTTTTAATAGTTTAAAACCAGTGTTTTCATAAGTTTTTAAAAACTTTTTTTTTTTTTTCAATAGGCACATATCCTTTTGTGACTTCATCAAACTGCACAGTTGGAGGTGTGTGTACTGGTCTGGGCATGCCACCACAGAATGTTGGGGAAGTATTTGGAGTTGTGAAAGCATATACAACAAGAGTTGGAATCGGTGCCTTTCCTACAGAACAAAATAATGTGAGTATTATCAGTGCTGGATGTGACTTGTAACTGGGTGAAATAACTTGGTGTGTCTGTCTTGCATTAAATCAGTGTTACTGTTTAAGTGCAAGTACATGACCGTGTTTGGATGTCTCATTCTTCTGATTCTAGGCTGAGCTTACAGGCCTGCCAAATCTGATTGTTGGTTTCTCAGACCTTCCTATGGAGTAGAAGGTTAGATCAGGAACAGATTGAGAGATTTGCTCAAATAACGTTCTCTTGAATTAGAAATAGCATTTTGTATTTCTGTTTTCATCCCAATGGACAACTTTCTGAAAAATTCGGGGAAGAACTTTTAAGGTAACTTACAATATTGTAAAATGTTATTAAGGATATACTTGCATCGTGTATTGCCAAAAAAAAAAAAAAGCTCATATAATAATATTGCTCTTTGTTAGGAAATTGGAGAATTGCTGCAAATGAGAGGTAAAGAGTTTGGTGTTACCACTGGTAGAAAGAGAAGATGCGGCTGGCTGGACCTTGTGTTACTCCGATATGCCTACATGATTAACGGATTTACTGCGTGAGTTACTTTGACAGCTTTTCTGGCAACTTGACATAAAATCATGAAATGCTGCACATTACTGTAAATTGTACATATACTAGCTAGTAACATTCAGACTGTTAGTATTGATTTGTTGATTGGTTTGATATTTTGATAAATGAACTGTCCCTTATTTTTCCTAGCATTAAATGTTTTTATATTTGACATTTTCATAGTCATGAATTTTCTTTCCTTTACTTGTAGCACATAAGTTTATTTCTCATTTAAAATGATCCAAGAAGCACTTGTGTGTCTTAGTACTTGATGTGGCAAGCTACCTTAACCCCTGTCATCCACCCAAACCAAATCAAACAAGGGCCTTACAACCTGATATAGTTTGTGGGGTTTTGTTAGTTTGTTTTCAAAATACTGATGGATTCCCATCTGTCTTATCTTTAGCAGTACGTGTAATTGTAGAAAATTTGGATATGACTTTGGGACTTTAATTAAAATGAAAAATAGATGTTTGAAACAAAACTGGTATAATATTCTAGTAGATTAAACTGTGTGAATACGTGCTTTACTTAAATGTCCTATTTTTCTTGTTCTTTGTGCTTTTTATTTAAAACAGGATGCAGCCAGGTATTTACAGACCCAGTGTCTGATTATTTTGCTTCCTTCACTGTAGGACAGGAACATTTGGCAGAGGACTGGAATAGACAGCAACAGGCATCATGCTATGAAACAATCTCAAATGAATGGTCATAAAGTACCTTGGCAGCACCCTGACCAATTAAAATTCTACCACTTAAAGCTATAGACGAGTCACTTTAATTGGAGAATACCTGTTCTTTGAATTTTGCCATTTTCTTATAGTACTAGATCTAAGGACGCAACAAAAAGGCTGTTTAAGTTTTCTTTATTTTTTAAATAAACAGATATAAATAAGGTATAAACCATATAAATAGATTAGTGCCATATGAGCTATTTTTCTAAGGAAAGACAATTAATTGCAATGTGCAGAAATCAATTTTTATTTTGATATTTATACAATGTGATGAGAGTTGAGAGTTACTGAACTTGTTTAACCAGAGTAATGTTTCTTTATAGGTTGGCACTTACCAAATTGGATATCTTGGATGTATTTCCAGAAATTAAAGTTGGTGTTGCATACAAACTAGATGGTGAAATAATACCTCATTTTCCTGGTAAGACTACTTGTTTAGCAATTTGAGATTTTGGTGAAATGTAATCTGATACTTAAATGCATTTGACTTTTACTTGTAAAATTTATGACAAGAATGTGTTACTTCAGCATCAAGCCATGAATGTCTTCCCAGATGCGCCCGAGACACCCTGTGCCACACCTGTACCAAATACTGTCATTTGTCTACTAGAAAGATGCAAAGTGGTGTATAAAGCCTCTTAAATGTAGATGTTATTACTGCTTTATCCCTCTCCTTTAATACAGCCTGCATTACCTTCAAGCTAAATTGGAAGCTCATTTCACACTCTAAATCCAGTGTCTTATTCCCACTACTGTATTCATCCCCTCTTCTAGCAGGACAAGTCTTCATTTAGGCATGTGATGAGCCACTTGTGAGAACTGATCCAGTTGAAAAGCCAGGTTTTTCTCTTCCTGGGTTATTTTTCTAACAGTTCAGTGCCCTTTAATGCTTCACAGAGCAGCCAAAAACCTGTCACATGTATGCAATGGAAAAAGAGGGAAAAGGGGTGGGGGAGGAAATGAGCAATTAGTTTAGGTGAAAGCAAGACTGTTTTCCTCATGCAGGACCAACATCAACTTAGCATGATAGGAATTATAGCTCCTGAGGAGGACAGTGGTCATTTTAGTCATCATTTTTACCTGAAAAATATATCTGCCTGTTAAAATTTTCAAGTATCACAAAACACTGTTCATGGATAATGCATCTTTTTCAGTTTGCTATAGTAGAGATACTCCAGAAAAAAGAACATTAACCAGTACTAAAGATGGGGCTTTCTGATTTTGCTAATGTGCACATAGATGGTCGTTTCCATTCTAATTGCTACCTCAGGATTTGAGGCTGGTCAGAGGTTACAATTTTTCATATGATACCATGAACAGAGAACTTCCTGTGCGTGAGGAGATCAACTGTAGTAATCAGATACAACTCACAGCAGGATTTATGTAGTATAAAGGAATAAGTGATAATCTGCCAGTAGTCCTTGAAAATAGCATGTGTCTGTTGGGGAAATTCATAAGGAATTAACAAAAAATCTTCTGTTTCTCTGTGCTTGGGGGAGTTCTTTAACTGATACACCCTTCAGTATCTTCAAACAAAAGTGCCAGTTACAGTCTGAATGCATACTGAATGACATGGCGTGCACTTTTATTCAGGAAATTTAGTCTCATCTTACACTAAACCAGGGAAGGATTTTCCCTTTTTAAGACTCAGAGGTCCCCTGATGGATACCCTTATCAAAATCTGAAGGAAACTTGTGTGTGCTTTAGATGGCTTTTGAACGTAATGGAGATTGCACATTTGAATTGAGAACTACTCAGTAAATGCTTCTTCTGCAGCCCTGTCATCTAATCTGGGGGCTATTTGGACTGTCTTGTGCTCAAGTCAGGAGGACCTTCTCTGGCAATCCATCATTAAGGATGACATAACAGGTGGCCATGTTTTCCGGTTTTCACTAAGACTTCAGTGATTACTCTTCTTCTTCCCTGCCCCATACCTCCCCTGCCCCCCCCCATTTATTTTGTTTCTCAGATGGGACCAGCATCATGTTACAACTCCTGAGGGCAGACTTTGCTCCGTCTATATGCCCAGGTAACAGGTAGCTGACCTTTGGTCATAGCAGCACAACATGGCTCACCTGCCTAACTGTATTTTTCTTTACTGTATGAACAATTAAGAATTCTGGTAGAAATTTAGTAGAAGCTGTTGTCTTTGCTGTTGATGTGCTGTCTTCCTTAAGTGTCAGAAAGGAGTTTGAGCTGAACTTCTGGTAAGCTGGAAGATGCTGTCTCTCACAGTGCCTCTGTGTTCCACACCTCTCTTTGCTATACTCTTCAACATTTGGCAGCATTGTCAGCACATATGCTGCAGGGTACTTACTAGCCCTGCCCCCAGCATAGAAAACAAAAAGTAACTTTCTTCCCACTTTGTGTTTTGCAGGCCATTAGGTTATTTCTGATGTCTACATCTCTGTGTGCTGTGCACTTGTCTAATTAATTTTTTTTAACTTGCCACTTCAACATTTTTAATTTAATTTAGAAGAGATCTAGTCTGGGAATCTCTTGCTGGCAGGGTATTTCTTCCCCCCGCCCCCTCCTACTCTCTTGGAGATGTTAGTGATTTACCCTTCTTGTGAAATGACTGTCTCTAAATCAGAAGCACACACAGCGCCCACCATCTCAGGAAAAACATGCCATATTTCATATATTGTTCCTTTTTCCAGCTGGATCAGAGAATCATACGAGTCTCACTCAGTTTTTTTAGCTTAGATTTCTGTGGGCATTTCATAATCTTCTGTTAAGAAAGAACTGAAAATGTCTTGTAAATTTGCAGTTGACTTCAGTTGGTGTCATTGAGGCTGTAGTCTTTTGCTGTAGAGCTGGTCAGTATCTCCATTTCTGTGTAGTCATAAGAGTTTATGAAAGAAAGAAAAAACTCCCTGCAAGCTTTGAGATGATAATTTTGACAGGAATGTGAGCGCCATGGTCTAGTCCTGCTAATGCCTTCTGTCAAGTTTAGGCATTAGCTGATCTCGGCACAGACACAACCTCTAGCTCAGGAGACTTTGAAAATGCAGATTCTTAGGAAATTGGGAGATTATTTTGGTGAAGCTTTACTTCATGCTTGCTTGCTTTTTTTTTTTTCTTCCCTGGGCATCTACTATAGAATAACGAGCTAGGACACCGTGCTAGATGCACCTTTCATCTGACCTGTATGACTGTTCCTCTGTTCAGTTTCTGGAAACTGCTGGAGGATCTTTTAAGATGAGATCTTTTACAATGGTGCCAAGATCCCAAATTTCAGCTATTATTTTTGAGTTGACAGTAACATCACATCATTCCCTCTCCAAATTACAGTACCAGACATCACTGTATCTGCTCTCTGTTATCTAATTCAGCTGTTAATAAGGAATATTCCAGAAAGCCTAAAAGATAAATCCCCTAAGGGAAGAGCTGAGAGAAATCTAGATGGTAACTACTTCTCATATGACACTGAGTTCAATTTATGGCTTTTCTTTACCACACATCGTCTTTTATCACACCTGCTGGAGCAAAATGAGAGAATCACACTTCTTGATGTTTCAAGTATCCCTTTTTTCCTTCCTCTCTTTTTGGGAAGTAAGGAATTGAACTAATACAGAGTAATGGAAGACTGTAGACACCATTAGACAGTTTAGTTTGAAGTGCTTTCAGCTTTCTCCCAGCTAGCCTTATCAGAGAGGCTTCGAAGTAAAAACTGAATTGCCTGTGCACCTCCAAGACTGAAGGTGTTCAGTCACTTTCCGTCTTCAGAAAGAGTGCGGCTTGTGTCTTAGTCTAGACCATCTGCAATGCCCAAAGGTTAGTTTGTGGTTTTGCACTTTGAATATAGCTGTTCTATTTTACGGATCACCTAGACAGCAGCTCAGTTGTTAGTGCTGATGACATGAAAGAAAGTGCTTATCCTTGGCCTCTGCAAGCCAGCATCCTTAATGTGCCTGTATGTTTGTCAAGACTAGCCTGATAACAACAAGTATTGATTCAGGATCATTTGCCTTAACCTGTGAACACCTCACGCAAAAAATTGTGCATTTCTTCACTCTTGTAGGCTTTGAAGTCAGTAGAGCATAGTCCTCTTTCACCTTTACTCAGAAGTAAAGTTCTTTTACTAAAGTAAAAAACTCAGCCTAGTTCATTAAGACTGTCTTTACAACACTGCTACTATTGAACTCTTACCTGCACCAGGACAAATTATTCAATATGCTGAGCCTGAGTTTGTTGGCTACACACACGCTGGAGGGGATTAGCAATGGTTTTGTATTTGCATCTCTACTGTGCCTCTTGCACCCAAGATGCTTTCCCAGACGATCTGTCTTTGCAGGACTGACTTGATCTGAGACATGGAGCCTGCATAACATTAATTACAGTGCCTTTGGCAGAACCCTGCCTTTTTCAGGAAGGCAGGGTATTTTGACAATTTTCAGTCTTAGGGCTTTTGTTTTGCTGCCCAGTGTCATTCCAGGACTACTGTTCAGATAATACCCGGAATGATTCAATTCCAGAACAGTGTGCTTAGCATCTTCCAGTATTTGAAATCATCACAGGATTCCGAGGTAATGGACAACACTGTGGCAAGTTACTAAATGAAGGACAAAATGGAATATACTCATTGCTTCTCTTCTGGGAAGTAATTAGAACAGTTACTGTTCATACATTATGTGGAACTCCGCACTAATTGACAAATTTATTGTAGAATTTTGGGGAAAAGGGTCTGTGAGTGTCAGAAGTGTGTATAAACTACATCCTATGACTGTTCTTTTAGTAAAAAGTACACTCCTCTCCTCTGCCACTTTAAAATATGTTTTAACTGCCTGATACTTACAAGCTGGTGCCTAATTTTGCTTTCACATCACTGAATTCTCTCATGAAGGTGGGGTTGCATCTTGGTATTTGTTCAGTTGTTCAGCCAAAAAAAAAAAAAAAATTCATTTTGGGGAGTTACTTTTCCTGAAAAATTATTTTTTGAAATGAAAAGGTTGTGGTGTAAGCAAAATATATGCATGTGACTGAGAGTACTAGAATTCCTAAAAAATCTAAGTCCAGATATTTACTGGATTTTTTTTTCCCCACCCTCTGTTTATAGTAACACAAAAAGGATACTTCAGCACCTTCAGTGCTGATATTATCTTTATGTAAGAAAAGAATAAAAAGCTTTACAGCTGTGTGTTTAGTGGTAGAGAATATATAATCTTTGTGGACATAATATTTTTGTTTGCTTCTCAGCCAACCAGGAAGTCTTAAATAAAGTAGAGGTTCAGTATGAGACACTCCCAGGATGGGATACAGACATATCAAATGCAAGGACGTTTGATGAGCTGCCTGTAAATGCACAAAATTATGTTCGCTTCATAGAAATGGAGTTGGGTGTTCCTGGTAAGTAAAACAGATTTTGTTGTTGTTCGTTGTTTTTCTGCTCCATGAAACCTATCTTGTATTTTGCCTTAATGAACATTCAAAATATTGAGAACTAGTTTCTAGCTGTGCTTATTCTTATGTACCTGGTGATACTTGTAATTATTGCTTTACTACTTTTTCCTCTATCTAGTTAGCTGTTGAATTGAAAATTTTCAAAAGCTTTAATATGCATTCTTTCTTTGGCTTATACTATAGTTCTTGTTCAACTGAGATTTTTATAACTTGCTGAAATGTTTTTTCAGATTGGTTGTAATAGGCATTTAGTTATGCTGCCATTATAAATTCAGTGGGACTACTGGCATATTAATGTGATTAAATATATATGACTATAAAGAGGCCCTAAACTAACAAATTTCTCTTACGCTTTCTAATAAAAATGATCCTGTGCTGGGAATGAGGAGATGATGCAAATCTTTCCTGACAGTTTCTATGTATCTCTTTTTCTGTGATCTGGAAAACTGTTTTATTTATTATGGCAGTTTCAAGACTGTTCCTGCTTTTCTAAGTTACCAGTGCATTCTTACTTTGAGAAAATAGTTATAACTTCTTAATCTACTGATGGTATATGCTGTGCTCTTCTTCAGACTATGGTACCTAAGATCTTAAGCGCTTAGATAAGATAACAAGCGTATCTTCTTTAAGGTACAATCCAATCTTGCTTTGTATTACTTATAATAAAAGTTTGCTTTTCTCTCCTGCAGTTAAATGGATTGGAGTAGGGAAATCCAGGGAATCAATGATCCAGCTGTTTTAAAGATTTCAGATGCATGGAAGAAAGCACACTCCTCAAAAGACTGCGCATTCTTAAATGCATTAGTAGCCCGCAAAGCAAAGATGTTGGAAAGATAGATTTTTTTGCATGGAAAGAAATGCTAGAGTTGATACCCCCAAATCAATTGCTACTCCTGAAAGAGACTTTAACATGAACCTGTACCAGTTACTGTTCAATTGCAATTTCCAGGACACTTTTCATTGTTGTTCAAGGTGCCATCAGATTTTTTTTTTTCTTTACCTAATATTTACTTCATAATGTAATTCCTGTTTGAAAATCTAAAGTAGCGTTACTTTCATGACTGTTTGTCTTTGTTATCCTCTCTCTGCTTTTGGCGGTGTTACTTCCCTGAAATTTTAGACAGTAAAAATAATGCAGTTTTGCACAGATAGTTTTACATCCTCATTATTTGTATTCCTAAGGCTGTTGTACTCTTAATGGCTGCTCTTGTGAGTGATTAAAGAGGGGTATTCTGATTTTATAATGCTATAAATGCTGTCTAAATTATTGTGTGATCTGTTTTTTAAAAAAAGACTGTGATGCCAAGTTGTTAAGAATGTCCAGGTTTTTTTAGCTGTATAACACAGAAAACTTACTCTTTGTAACTCACAGAGGACACTCAAGTGTTTACCAGGAAATGTGCCCAGAAAGTTAGAAAATTGGTATTGTAAAAAGTTCATCTGCGATTATTAAAGAACTGTTCTGATTTTGAGTTAAATGTTTTATAATGTTACTCATTTTTTTCTGGTGTTTAAAACCCCCTGCACTTCTCTACCTCCAAGGCACATATCTCAAACTGTTTCCCTAACTAAATGAGCTTACATTTATATTTGGTGAGAAATCTAACATTTTGATGCCCTTTTAAATTCCTTTCCATATAGCCAGTAGAAGATCTTTCTCTGGAGAACTGGCAAAGCACAGACAGTTTTGTAATTATAAATTGAAGATGCTGTAGAAATAACATTTAAAGTATTCAACATATTTACTTTAGATGTACGGAAAATAACAAGCGTTCACCTCATGACATCTAACATATTTTGGCTTATTAGTGTTGGGAAGTTTTCTAGAATTATTTTAATTTATAACCATTATTTTATATTCCAAAGAATCTGATTTCTGTTGGCAACAACCCAATAATTACAGATTCTCTTTCCAGATGTTTTGAGAATGACTCTGGTTTTATATGCTATACTATGGTATTCGTGTGCTTCCTTTTCACTTCAAATAAAACTTGCAAACTTGTTTTTAGGAAACGAAGTACCAGAGTGGGGCAGTAGTTTTAGTTTAGTACATTTTGGCTATGCAGGTGAATATAAGAAGCTTTTCATGCAAAATAAGATATAAGGCCTTTCAGATTATGTCTTGAGTAACCAGATGTTGCCTGAAAAGGACTGGATGTGTTGGATTGATGCTGCTGTTGAGGTGGTTTTTGTTCTTAATTGACATAAAATAAAATTGCTTGTCATAAGGGGAGAAACAGGAGGGTTGAAGGATAAAACTACTGATATTTAAGGAGCATTTTTTATTTAATTGTTTGCACGTGACAGAGCAGTTAGCAGGGTGTGTATTTTACTGTATAACACGTATTCTGCTATATAATACAGTGTAACACGTGCAAAGAGGAGTATGCCACAGAATAGTGGAAAATTGGCAAATACATTGAAAGACCGTTGTATCAGTACTGCATGTAAAGAACATTCTCCTCGGCATTAAAATACAACTGCATGCTCTTTTTTCCTGGAGGGGATGAGGTTCTAGTTTTGCTGTCAGGCTCGCAGTCCAGGAGATAACCATACCGTTCCCCTTTAGCTAAGGGACATCTTGAATTAAAAATCTCTTCCTAATTCCCTGATGAAGAGAAAGCGCGATATAACTGTGCGAACTATAAATTATAATGTTCTTTTAGAAGAAAAGAAACACTAGTAGTATTTTCTAGGCAATAGGAGGGAATTGACCTTGCAATGTGAAGAACAGGTAATAATTACCGAGTATTCTTGTCTTCGTGTAGCTGTAGGAGGCACCAAGGGGATTTGCACAGCCAGTGAAACTACCAGCCAAGGACTTGCGACCTAGCTGGTTGAAGGAGTGAGTAGATAAATGAGGGCATACTTTCCTTCTACAGTGAGTCAGTAAGTGAGGGCTTACTACGTAGTTGTGTTTCACTTCTGCCAAGCAGAGACCTTCAAGTTCAAGCCCTGTTTCAATTCTTCCATTCTTGTAACTCCACAGTACAAACTAACCTTGTTTTTCAGTCGAGGAATTCGTATTCCCAGGTGCAGCAGGATTTCTAAGCAATAGCTATAGCTAAAATGATACAAAGTATTTGTGCAGTTAAAGAAACAAAACAGAATCGTCTTGGATGCAAGAATTATTTATGTTCTTTTTGTTTTCTTTTAAGTTCAGCTGAGATTTTTCTTTGATTCTTCCACTCAAGTGCAGACCTGGAAAGTAGAAAACCTCCTTCTACCAGAACTTGTCCAGATAATGTGGTCCAGGATCTGTTGGTATATATTTACTCTCATGACCTGGAACGAAGAATTTTTTCCTTAAATTTCAGGTGGTCAAACTTGGCATCTGCAAAAGCTTATTATGTTGTCCCTGAGTGCCAGTTTCACATATGTTTTCCTGGAGTGAATTCTTGGACTGGTGCACAAACACCCTCCTCGTGTCAAAGAATGGTTGTATTCTACCAAATTTTCCCCTCCCCCAGTGCTACTTTTTCTACCCCTTATTTCATTTGTATGTATGGGGAAATAGGCTGGGATGTGTTAAGACCAACCTGAATGTTGTAGAAACAAATGTTAAAAGTTATGGAGATAGTTTCAAGCGCTGTGTGCTCTTCTCTTGAAACCATGCTATGTTCAACTGTAGAAGCAAGGAGGAAGAAGAAAACAACAGTCTAATACTTTACTACCAGGAGTGTATTTAGCAGGGGCAAAGTTAAATGGTTTTGAAGGCATTTGTAGTTTTTTCTCTAGCCAAAATTCGCTGTTCTGCTTTTTTTCTGTCTTCATTGGTCAAGAGCCCTTTGGCCTTAAAGGAATTGCCACACTCATTGGCAAAAGGCTTTTGGTTGTCTGTCGCAAGCCAGTAGTAAGCTGTAATGAAAGGAAAAACCTTTGTACTTCAATGACAAGCATGTATTTCTCAGGCCCTTCTTCTCTGAAGTCCCTTCTGTTGCTACCGTCTAAGTGGGTAGGATGGCAGCATAGGATAGTAGTTGAAATTATTGTCATCCAAGTGTTCCCTCCCACTAATGGGATGTTTTCAGGAGGCATGGATACATGTTAGACCTGACAAGGCTGATGACAGAAAAGGTATTTTGATCTCATGCCATTCTTGCTGCCTCTGAAATATTTACGAGGTTGATTCTCCTAGGCTTGTGCTGTACCGTGGCATTTAATAGCCCCTGTGTCCCTATGGTTTAGTGAGTCTCCTTTGGTAACTAATAGGAGGGGAAGTGAGGGATACTTCTCCTGCGTAGCCTCTCCATTTGTATTCCATATGTAATTGTGTTTTGGCTGGCAGCTAATGGACAAAACAGATAATGTTGATGTAATGCATGACAGCTGCTTTCGTCTATCATCATCCTGGAAATCTACTTTCTAAGAGAAGATCATAGTTTCCTTTTGCTGTCACAGCCAGCTCCCTTAATGAAACATAAACAAATTTGGCTGGTTTAGAAAAAGTAAAAGGCAAAGTAGCTGGGAATGAAGGTAAGGGACAACTCAGTCTGGTGAGTTTTCTCCCACCCATACTGCTCCTAGTCTCTGTAACAGTGAAACTTAATAAACTTGGTGGTAGAGTAATTAAGCGCACTTTTGATGCATGACAGCTTTACCTGCTTAAGGCAGACTGATGTGCGTACATACACACACAGAGATGATGTGTTATTTGCAGAGACTTAAAATTTTATACTGTTCTCTGTTGGAGTGTTACAATTCATTTGACATGTCATCTTTGAAATACCTTGCAATAGATACACATTCAAATGTCTTTTCAATTTTAAATGGATAATACTGAGTTAAATCCTAATGTTCTTCATTGCTACTTTAGAACTATTAAAACAAGTGTATTAAAGCAATGTATTTTCTTACACTATGTTAGTTTTTTCAGTGATGAATCAATTTCTTCATCTATCCAGGTAGTCACTCTATATACACTTTCTATATACACTACTGGCATTATCCACAATGTGTCTCAGTAACTGTTTTTAGATAACAATCTGCCTGAGTACAAATATTTTCAATATTATCAACAATTCAATATGAAACAAATTATTCTCGCTGGTTGCCTTCTGCATGCTGCGACAGGAACTGGGATACCTAAGTGGTGGCAGTGGAGGGAGAGTATGGTTTTGGGGGACAGGTGGCAGCTCTTTTTGGGAACAGCAAAATGACTATTTGCTCTTTTCTCCATGCAGTTTAAGACTAGTTAGTCAGTTTACGCAGAGCAAACCTCCCTAGTTGATCTTCCATGCCCCTTTCGCCAGGAAAATCAGCATGGGTTGGTTACTTGTGTTGAGATACGGCAAGTCAAATGCTGCTTTGTATGAAGTTTGGTTGTACCAGTCACTGGTGGTCTTTTTCATTATTTTTTGAAAATGCACATACTTCCTGAGAGCTGAATTGTCAAAGTCGGGCTGGACTGGAGTTTCAGCTTCGTAGTTTACTGGAGCTGGTTGCAGTTTACTGAAAGGTCTGGGCGAAAAGCATAAATCATTCTGTAATCTCATGCTGACATATGGTATGTAAATACCATGATCCACCCAAAGGGTAGCCAGCATTATAAATGTACTTTCTAATCTCCTGCTTAAATGAGCACTCGGTATAATGCAGCTGTAATCTAATAGATATTAACAGCCTGAGAATGTACAGTAAGACCTTAATAATTCAGTATTGTTTGATTGGCTCCATCTGACTTGTAATTAGCACAATAAGGGTTGTATCTCTTGCACTTGAGCAACTAACAGCATTAATGTTACGAGAATTTTTAAAGCCTTGACTTCCCAAAAGAAATAGCCTATGACATTTTAAATTTAAAAAAAACCCCACAACCTATATTTTGAAGTTGATGTGCAGTACAACAAATTTTCATTGGGGGGGTGGGGGAGGGAAGCCCAGCATTTTTTACAACCAATTCCATTCTAAATTCTCATATACATCATAAATTCAGGTCATGCAGCACTCCTGGTATGGCCAAAAACTTTTGGATGTAGTTTTGGTTTACTCTGCCTGGATCCTCTTGTTGTTCCTCTTTTAGGCCAAAGTCATAAAAAATCATTAGGGGTTGTTGCAACGTTGCCCAAACTAGACATAAAAGGGAAAGGCTTATTCCACAGTTTGTACAGGTTTATTCTGACGCACAAGCTTACCCTGGAGCCCTTCTGGATGCATGTGCTTTGTGGACCCGTCCTAGTTGCCCAGGATAGAATCCACAGACATCCTTTCCAGGACGAACAACTGAGCTGATTAAGTAAGCAAATAGAAGATAGTGAAGGTACAAGCAGGAGACTAGAGAGCAGGAATCCCACCCATGCTGTGGAAAAGCAAATTTCTTACATGGCAGTTATGAAAAAGAAATATTTTTGTCCCTGTACTGACCTTACTAGCAAATGAGGGCATGACATTGATAACGTGGCAAAATCTTGCATCTTCTGAAAAAATGTGAGTTTGTGCAGATGAATGCATCTTTTTTTTTTTTAATTTAAGAAATAAAAGCCGGGCAAAGGTCTATTAAAAAAAAAAAAGTATCCTTCTGAAATGTTTAAGAGTCTTGAGCAGATTTCTTGTATAACCTGGCCTGTGTGTGCTGTGTGGTTCAAGAGGCTTACCCTGGTGGCAAGGTGGGTGCAGGATCTATAAAATCCCTTAGTTTCTTTGCGGGGTATGACATGCCAAATTCCTACAAACAATGATGTAAAATGTTAATTTTTTTGTTAAGGAGCTGCTGATGGACCTAAAATAACTTGCTTACGTGGCTTGAATGTATTAATCTCCTCTGTGGAATAGAATACGGATTGGGAATCCCCCAGGAAGAAAAGAACCAGTGTACGCGTGTAAAAGTAAAGGTTCTACGAAACATTTAAGTTTTGCAGAGCTACAGGAGTTTCTAGAAGGAGTTGTGCAATATTAGTGGCAGGTCTTAGAGTAGAAACAAATGCGGGAACCAGTTAACTTATTTAAAGAGTATTCTGTAATTCAGGACAACAGCGTGCTGTTCTGTGACTCAAAGGAGAATTTCTTTGCAGACTGATTCATTGTATCAGTGGGTCTGATGGTCTGCTTGTTTGTCACAATTAAGTAATAATTTATTCTACCTCCCGAGGAATTAAATTTGGCTGCTGTGTATAAAACACTGACTCACCAGTATTTGGAAGACAAAGTAGATGTTTTCTGTATTTTGTTGCCCATCAGAGTTGGTGAATTATGTTTTGGCCACTCCATGGCAACTACTTCACTGGAGTATGAATTAATATTGCAGCTCCGGGAGTTTGATGTTAAAATCAGTTCTCATCAGAGATGTTAGTCAGACTATTGTTTGGAATAGTATCATGACACAGCCCTCTTGGAAACTCCTTTGAATACATCCGCAGTTCCAAATTTTTTTTTTTTTTCCCCTAAAACTAAGACCATTGCATCTTCTGCTTAGTTGTAGAGCATGATATAAAAACTCCTTATCCAATTCAGTCTACAAAAGAATGTATTTTCATGCTTTAGATAATTTCAGTCAATCTTGGAAAATGTAGCTATACAACATACAAAAGTGACAACTCCAACACTCACACACAATATGAGCTGTTGAGAATCACTGTTATATTTACCAACATTTCCATATCCCTGTCAGCCAGTTCTGCACAACTGTTGTCCTCATCATAGTCAGCAGCACCAACAGGGATTCCTCTCCTCTCCCCAGCTCCTCCCCAGGGGTGATTCTTCTTCTCCAGTTTTACCCTTAGCGTGGCTTCAGCAGG